CGCCCCGCCGCTGCAGGGCGGGGCTGCTTGCGCGCGCCCCGGCGAACATGGCGGGCGCGTAGGGCAGCGCTGCCCGGCGGCTCCGGACACCCCGCGCCGTCCCGAGCGCTGCGGCGCGGGCAGGGAAAGCGGGGGGCCGGGCAGGAGCCCCCGCCGCGGGCAGCGCCATGGACGAGCAGAGCGTGGAGGTGAGCGGGGGAAGGGGGGGGTACGGCGCCGCCCGCCCAGGTGCGCATCCCCGCGCTGGTGCGCATCCAGCCGCTCGGCGGGCCAGGGGCCGCCGCCGCGGGGGCAGAGCGGCCCGGGCGGCGGGGAGCGGGTGGCGGCGGCGCGGGGGAGGCGCTGGGCGGCCTGGAGCGGCCGGCGGGTGCCGCGGCAGCGCCCGGCCCGCGGTGCGGCAGGCGGCGGGGCAGGGAGCGCGGCCCTCCCGTTCCGCAGCCGTTAGGCAAGGCCGGGGGATGCAGGAGGCGCTGGGATGTCGATAAGTTAACAGTGCATCCCGGCGCATCCCGCTTCTGTAGCCTTAACTCTGCTGGGGGCAAAATATCCCATTGGGAGCATYTCTGAGAGTCCTAGAGATAAGGCCAGAGGAAATCCAGCTGCTCTTATACAGGCTGCAAGACCACCCAAATCGGTGAAAAATCCATCAGTGTGACAAGCTAGTATTATTTTTTAAAACGTTTTGAAATACTCTTATGATTTTGAACCATTTTGACTCATGATTCCATTTCTGGGAAGAAAAAAAAATCTGTTCTCCAAGATTAACTGGTGAGGGAGGGCAGAGAGGCTGTGCAGCTAAGGATAGGCCTGAAATTCTTTTAAGTCAAAGGCAAAACCCTGTCCAATTTGACCCCTCTGCTTAACATCCTCTATGATACATAGAGATACCTAATATGTCTTTGAATGAATTTAATTCACATTGAAATTCATAGGCTGAGAATCTGCACATGGAGCACGGTTGCTTTTCGCAGTGTGAATGCAGGTAGGACTAGTATGTCTTGGCTACGGAAATGCCTGCTCAGGAAAAGGTAAACTAAGAAGGAAGCCCTKCCTAGAATATTAGTGTTTTAAAATGAACACTGGGTGCGGGTGGGATGTACAAGTGAGGAAGAGAGCCGTGATTATTTGAATTGGTAACCTGCTCTGAGATGCAATGTGTTTGGAATGGGACTCTATTAAACCTGGCATTGTGCCTGGAAAGTAGATGGAATTCCACTATGTTTGAAGTCTGTGGCATAACAGTAGTGTCCATCTGATCTTTGCAGAGCATTGCTGAAGTATTCCGATGTTTTATTTGTATGGAGAAATTGCGTGATGCACGCCTRTGTCCCCATTGCTCCAAGCTGTGCTGTTTCAGTTGTATTCGGGTAAGTTTGCTTATCATAATCTATTTTTGCAAATTAAGAGAACTACTGGTCTTAGGAGCACATTCTTGCTCTTTTTGCTGTGCCTTTCAGAGGATTCCATTTTCATCCTCTGTGCTCTTCGTTTTCCCTTTCAAAAGCTTTCTATGACACTCTGAGAAAGTGTAGGCAAGCTGTGCATTATATACAGGAGTGCTAATTATAGTGATTATCTGGGAGAGTTGCTTTTAAAGAACAGGCTTATAATGGCCCTTTCTTTAATATCTCTTGAGAGTCAGTGATACTTATGTAGATGRAGGAGGAAGTCGGAACAGAAAGCAAATACTGATCTTTCAGATAGCAGTATGGAGTGTTAAAATGTCATAACATCTGTCATCTTGGAGCTGTTTTACAGGTAGCTGGCTAGCACTTCTCACAGTCCATTTCTAATACGTTTTTCCTTCTTTATAGCGTTGGTTGACCGAACAAAGAGCTCAGTGCCCTCACTGTAGGTAAGACATTTTTAACATCAGAAAATAAATTTTCAGAAATTGAGGGCCTTTCCCCATGCCCCCAAGCCTTGCACTCCTTAGCAATTCTAGTGCTTGGATATAGACCAAAATTAATTTCCATTAGAAGGGAGGAATTTTTTTTTCCCCTGGTTCGAAGGGTGATTTTTGAAAGCAACTAACCTTTTCTGCAGAACTTAATATTCACTTATTAAAGTATTTAATTAATGGGTCAAAAGTGATGGTAAGGAGGTGAATATATCCACATCTTACAAAGGGATAACCAAAGCATGACCGTGGGAGATAGAAGAATAGTGGGAGAAATTGGAGATCTGAGCAATGAAATGATTTGCTTAGGACTATCCACCAGGCTCCTAACAAAACTGGGAGTAGTTCTTGAGTTCCTTATGTATTTATTTCATATTTTGTTATTTTTATATAATAAATGCAAATCAGTGTAAAACATCAGTTGCTTTTCTGAATTCGCCGTGGTAGCTTCAGCTCTACCTGCTTTTGCCTGTGACTTTGTCAGGCAGAGCAGAATTGAGATGAGTTTGGCTTGTGCTCCTGGAGCTGTGTTTTTTGCTCTGACTTCAGCAATGCTTCTGCTCCTTGCAGAGCCCCGCTGCAGCTGCGAGAGCTGGTCAACTGCCGCTGGGCAGAAGAGGTCACGCAACAACTTGATACACTTCAACTGTGCAATCTCACCAAGCATGAAGAAAACGAAAAAGACAAGTAAATGGAATGCTCTTCCCACAGAGGCTATAGAGTTTGACTTACATGAATGGACATTTCAATCCATCTAACTTTAAAATCGGGGATTGAAGTTTGAGCTGTATCTGTTACTGCAGTTCATTCTCCCTCTTGTCTTTGGAGAGTCCTGTRTTTTCTGGTTGGTGTTTTAGTGAGGTGAAATATTAACTTCTAGACTTGCAAGCCAGATTCAGTGACGATAGCCTCGAGCTGCTGGGCATAAACCCAGTTTTATTAATAAGCTTGCTCTGTAACTCTTGGAGGCGTTGAGAGGATTCTGAGAACAGCATTTATTTTACAAAATATTTTTGAAATGACTTTCAGGATTCTTATAGAAAATCTCTAGCTATTTTCTGCTGATGATTTGTGTTTGTTTTCTGTTTAAGGTGTGAAAACCATCATGAAAAACTTAGTGTCTTCTGTTGGACCTGTAAGAAGTGTATCTGCCACCAGTGTGCACTCTGGGGAGGAATGGTAAGAAGATACTTGCGTGCATTGTGTTACAGTAGCAGACTGTGTTCAAGTGCAATTTGAAGAAACAAAATCATAGTGAAACTGTTGGTATGGCTATTGAATTGCCTTGCAAATAATTATAGTTGTCGTACGTGCATAAAAAATTTATATGAGCTTTGGGTTTGAAAAGCAGCATCTTCAGTTACTAAGTATGAAAGCAAATTGAATTTTATGGTGAAAGGGCAGAATTATCTTCCTTGCTAAAATTTTCTTGATTCTTCAGACGAGCTATTGATGACAATGAGAACTCTATGTGCAAAGCAAGAGATCTTTCTGTAAGTTTAGATGGGGAGTATTCTTGAGTATCTTAAGAACTGTTATTGGTAAAGCACTCCACCGTGCTCTTTATCCTTCCTGTTGAGTATTTTGAGGGGAGATGGCTGTCATGCCTTGGAGTATAAGTGGCTGAATGTGGTTAAAATTGTGCTGTTTTTGTTTGGGAATGCTGTTTTCAATTTAAAAGAAAATCTATCTTTTGTTAAAGATATGTGCAGTGAATAAAGTGGTTTATTTTTGGATGGCTGCTCAGGCTCTAAATAACTCTTGACAGGAAGCTTTGATGGTATAAAAGCCAAATTCATGACTTGTTATGAAGGGAAGTGAAAGACAGACTTCCTACATACAATCTGCCTTGGAACGTTTCCAAACTGAGTGATACACCAGGAGACTTTCTTCTGCTCTCTTCCTATAATTTAATAGGTGTGAGAAAGTTGAAACTATATTAAACACCCTTTTCTCACCTTCTTTTCTCTAACAGCATGGAGGACATACCTTTAAGCCACTGGCAGAAATCTATGAGCAGCATGTCACAAAAGTAAATGAAGAAGTGGCAAAGCTTAGGAGAAGACTCATGGAACTGATCAGTTTAGTACAAGAAGTGGTAAGAAATTAATCATGAAAACCTCAGGCTTTCCTGCAGCTTGCCCTTGTTAAAGGGTAACTGTGAAGTGAAAGATGGAAATTCTATACAGTTTTATGGGCTCATGATGTTTTCTGTACTTGTGCACTGTTACTTCTGTGAAGGTAATGGGATCATCCCGTAGGGATATTTTCACTTCTTAGTTGTGCTCTTGATACTCTTATTACAGCTTGTGGAAAGATCTGCACAGTCTTGGCTGTGTCAGGCAGCTGCAAAAATGGCAAAAGATGGGAGTCAGACAGTGGGGAATTCTCTCTGAGTGTATGCTGTCTAAAAGCTAGAGTTGTGCGATTGTTAGAAAGTTGTGTCATGTGAACAAGTCCACGAGAGGGGCCGTACTCAAAAGTAGATACGGAAGAGAAACCAGTAGTTGTGCCTGTGAATTTCAATACTGAAGTTTCCATATGGCAATGCCTTGGGAATGAGAAATTGTTCAAACTTGGTTAACCTTTGGTCACCCACCAGAGGGCACACTTATTGTTCCATAGAGTGACAGGTGTTCACAAGGTGACAATCAAGTGTTTGGACTCACCGCAGGGGTAGACTGCAACACAGATTGTCTATAAATAACTTCCTGTTTTATCATCCAAAATGGGAGAGCTTCTGTAAGACCAGATATTTCTCTCCTGCCTGCATTAGAGAAAGAAGGACTGGAGGGGAGGTGGGCTGCAGGAGGCTACTTAGTCATCATCCTCATCTGAGAGAGTGGAATCGATGTGTAAAGTGAATTAAAAATGTGCAGAGTGTGAAGGATTTCTTTTGGTACATGTTTTTTCTGAATCCCATTTTAGGAGAGGAACGTGGAGGCGGTGCGCAGCGCAAAGGATGAGCGAGTCCGCGAAATCAGAAACGCCGTGGAGATGATGATTGCCCGCCTGGACACTCAGCTGAAGAATAAACTTATAACATTAATGGGTATGTATTTGCCTCATCAGTATGAGTGGGAGCAATATATCATTGGGTGTAAATCTATTGATGAACCTTTTTTTCCATGGGGATACGACTCCTTGCATACTTCTCAGTGTTAAGCCAGGAAGCTGCTTGACTGAGTACTTTTACATATAGCAAGTCTTTTGGTTAATTGTGTAGTTACTGTGTTGCAGTAATTATTAGATGCAGCCAAACCTGTTTTCTCTTGCAGAGTCCTATATGGTAACTCAGAGAACATTTACATCTAATTGGAAGATATTTATGCAAAAAAACGCTAGCTAAGTAGTAAATATTTATCACATAATACTTCCCAGTGCTTTTAAAAAATTATTTAATACAAAGCTTCTTTGTGATTCCTTGCAATTTGGGTTCACAAATGAGTGTGGGCATTCAGAATCAATGCTATGAACTTTGGTTCCTGCTGTTGTTGCTACCCTGAGGCTCTCTACYGCTTTAACTCTCACCACCGCCACTTAAAAACCAACAAAAAAACCCTCTTAGTTTACTCTCACACTCTCATAAATGTCAAGAGAAAGTCTTGGCTGGATGAAGGGAAGTTCAGAGAAGTCAAAACTGCTTTTACTTTTTGTCCAAAAAAAGCACTTTCAAAAAAGAGAAGTTATTTCTGGGACACAAGGAATATTTCATTACTGACTTAAGCCTCAGGTGATTTCTTCACTAGAGATCCAATTAAAAATGTAGGCTTGCTTTCAAAATGTTTTCTCAATCAACCTTGGTATATTTAGAAATCCTTTACCTTATTAAGTTTTGGGGCATCTTCCAGGGAAGGGAAGAAAAAAAAAAAAAGCTAAATTTCTTAAAATCCATTTAGTATGTCTACCTTTTCTTTTAAAACAGGTCAAAAGACATCACTTACCCAAGAAACTGAACTTCTGGAATCCCTGCTCCAGGAAGTAGAACATCAGGTGATTCTGAAAGAGTTGAAATGTTGAAAATTTTAGATAGAGACATCACCAGGCAGCCTTTTTTTCTTCTTCTTTTTTTTTTTTTTTTTTTTTGGATAGAACTGCTTTCATGTCTTTATTTAAGTGGCTTTAGGTTGTACAATTTCTCCGTAAAAGCAAGCATTTTGTCTTTTATAAATAATGGTAGGTATTCACCTCTGTTGCTTAAAGTTAGCACAGCAATACCATGTGAAATTGCAGAGCTCTGTGTTTAGCTTAGCATTTGGACTGTGTGCTAATTTCTATCAGTTTTGCAGCTGCTAACAGCCTATGAATAGTGGTGGCTATAAATGGAGAGTTAAAAAAATCATAGTGCTTTATGCTATTGAGGAAAACAGAAATGGTTCTAGTTCTTTTAGTCCCATCCATCTGTCTTTCCAAGAAGCTGATATGGGGGGTGTGTGTGTGTGTGTGTGTGTGTGTGTGTGTGTGTATTTTTTGCCTTTTTTTTCCTAGCAACACAAGTTTGACTCTTGTAAATGGAATATTCGGTTTCTGCAGAGGCTGATTTTACTTGCCCTGAAAAAATTGTGCTTGCTCAGAGCAAATGGCAGGGTGTTGGAGCTTGGTTGGTTTGGTTTTGGGTGGGTTTTTTTTGTTTGTTTGTTTTTTTGTTTGTTTGTTTGGTTTGGTTTGGTTTGGTTTTGTGTATCTTACTGCATTCAGTAACTTTCTTTCATCAGAATCTGGCATCTTGGATTTTTGGCAGGGAATTGGGGAGGGGAACTCAAAACTGCTGGGAGGGGAGGAAGGGGAAAAAAATTCTTCTGAGTTGTTCCTCTTGTTCTGGATGTGTTCTTCATTCCCTCTTTTTTCAATAAAATGCTAAGTTGACTTTACCTGAGCAGAGGTTGTGTTCTCCTTTGCAGTTATTTATTTTATATCTATAATGGAGTGTTGTGTTGAGGAATTGGTGAAGTCAGGAGAGTGAATGCTTCTGCAAACTGTACATCACCTGTTTTTTTGGCTACTTGTGGACTCATTCAAGAACTAGTTCTTGTTTACAATGCACCCCAAATGAGGACCTTCTAACAGTGGTGATAGTGCAGATGTAACTTTGCAGGTCTGYTCTTCTCCTATAGAAAAACAATTGAAAATTGTTATATAAATATAAAATATATTTATATATATATATAAATATTTTTTAAAAAGGGTTTCTGAGTCTGTCGGGCAGTGTTTTAGTATGTAATTAGTTTGCTTAAGAACAAATGCAGTCAAAATCTRTGTAGACATGTATTAGTAGACAAAATGTCTGCTACTAATGACAGAAGGCTTTTTTCTTTTTTTCTGTTTCTTTCCATACAGTTGCGGTCATGCAGTAAGAGTGAGCTGATATCCAAAAGCTCAGAGATCCTGATGATGTTCCAGCAGGTTCATCGGAAACCCATGGCCTCATTTGTCACTACTCCAGTTCCGCCAGACTTCACAAGGTAGGCAGTGCCCAGCTGACTGAAAAGTGCCTCTCTCTATGCTTAGTTTACTGGCTTGCCCTGTTTCCTCTTATTATTGGGGTCATTCGGTGTGTAATTGCAAAGCTCTCTTGAGATGCCTCTGCAGGTCACCTTAATTCAGAATATATAGCTAAAATCACTTTCTAACACAATTCTCTTTCATAAAGAGTGATTTTTTTTTAGTGCTAGGTTCTTAAAAAGTCAGAGTTTAGGATAGCTGGCTGCAAAGCTTCTCCATAAAACTGAGAGTAACTGAGAGTACAAGATTCCTCAAATTAGTTTGTTTTCTTTAGCAAATATCACTGTCTTGCTTTTAAGTGCAGTCTGAAAACAATTGCCTTAAAGTGTTTTCTGAAAAAAATACTTAGAAGCCTCTCTGAGGAGAGCCTAAAGCTGAATATGCATTTTCCGATGGCAATAAGCTCTGAAGCGTGAACCAGTTAAGCTTTGTTCTTTCAGCCATGCAACAATTTCATCCTTTCTAGAACTATGAGTTTTGCAATAAAAATTGTTATATTATTAACCATCACAGATAAAAGAGCAAATCCTCCTACAGTTCTCTATGTTCTTCCTTTCTGACTATAATGTAAAACATTTGCTTTGGTATGTGGCATCGCATGCAGAGGGGCTGGGGAGAAGTCTCATGAGTGGAATTTTCAGAAGAACAAAAAAAGACAAGTGTAGTCTAGTGCACTTCAGTGGATCTCGTGATCCAAATGGTTCAAGAGAGTCGAAACTTGAGGTTTTAATGTGATGTTATAGAACTAATACATGCTTTTGGTTTTTCTGTTTTCTTCCCCTTAGTGAATTAGTTCCAGCCTATGACTCAACTACCTTCGTCCTGGAAAATTTTAGGTGAGAATGCATCTTAAGAAATTACTGCGAATTTCGGTAAGCCTTTTCTGTTTCTTGTGTCTGCGTTTATGTTTAAAACAGTGGTCTCTTTTAGATAAAAAATGATACAAATTCAATCAAAATCTATCATGTACCAGGTGAATAACAAGCCCAGTTCAACAGATAGTTTTAAGGAAGTCTTCCTCATAACAATGAGCAACTTTTGAAAGATTGAACTATTTTCCAAGGAATATAAAAGTGTTAAGCTTCTGTACAAATACATATGGGTCTCACATGCTGTTAGGTGCTCTTTGTGCAGCAAGGACAGTTCCAGAGTGTAAGTGTATATAAAACTKGCTCTTTCACGGAGGGTATTGCTTTCTCTCAGTGGCACTTTTCCCCTTTCTTTCTCCTCAATAGCACGTTGCGTCAGCGAGCGGATCCTGTTTATAGTCCACCTCTCCAAGTGTCAGGACTTTGCTGGAGATTAAAAGTTTACCCGGTGAGTGAATACCTTCAGCTAGAAATGTTACCCCATCCAACACGCTTAAGCAGCATGCTTGTCCTGTGAAGAAACGTCAACTAGGTTCTCATGAGAAAAGAGATGTTCTATATAAAAAAACTATATGGGAAGGGGAGAGAAAAACATAATGAGGTTGTGAGTGTCAGTCAGTGACCATTGGAGCATTCCCTCCATACTTCCATTCAGCATGAAGTTAAGTTCTTAGTACAGTTAATTTGACTAATTTAAAAGCAATTACAAATGTTTCTTAAATAGCGGTCTTGTTTGAGTACATAAATATGCTTCTTGCAAGACGGAAGGGGGCGAGAGGGGAAAAAACTCTTCCAACACATTGACAAACACTTGTCTATTCAGTTTTGTATTTAATTGAACTGCTTAAATGTTAATAACTTAAGGTGTATTCTGGGATGATGATTTGTATCTGAAATTAAAAATAATAGGGTGCACATCTTCATCCAGATGAAGAGCTCATGGTCATCATTCAGAGCTCTAGGTCACAGGAAAAACAAAATTGTCTGGAAATTCTGAATTGATCAAAGCTATTTTCTGAGATTCCAAAGGTGTGTGGAAATGGGTTCTGTCTGTGTTCAGCTTTAATGTGTTTTTGTTTGTTTGAGGATGGAAATGGAGTGGTGCGGGGCTACTACCTGTCTGTGTTCTTAGAGCTGTCTGCTGGATTGCCAGAGACATCCAAGTAAGAAAACCAATTGCTAAAGCATCTGGAGAGCTTTTCAAAGAATGACCTGAGTAGCTATGTAAGATTGCCAGGGGCTTACGTAGAGCTTATTGAAAAGAATAGAGTCAATCCTGTTTTCCACAGAGCCTGGAGTCATGTCTAAAGGTGATATTTAGAAGTTGGTGTTCAGTGGCTTGCCTAAGGCAACATGGCAACAGCAAGTTGGTAATAAAACAAATGAGAATATCTGACTCTCAGTAATATTTTTAGTTTTGGTTTATCAGACTACTCTCTTTACATCTTTCCTCTGAAGCTGCTTACTTAAGAATTCCATAAAACTTCAAGATTAAATCATGCCTTCAGCTAGAAATGCTAGCCTCCCCCAAAACATAGTTCTCTTAACTTGATAGATTCTGCACTTTGTGATACCTCACCTGGTTTTGGTATTAATTTCTCTGATCTTCCTTTGCTTAGGTACGAATACCGTGTAGAAATGGTTCATCAGTCTACCAATGATCCAGCTAAAAACATAATTCGAGAGTTTGCCTCTGATTTTGAAGTTGGAGAATGCTGGGGCTACAACAGGTTCTTTCGCCTAGACTTGCTAGCCAACGAAGGCTATTTAAACAGACAGAATGACACTGTGATTCTAAGGTAAAGATGACAACTTAGTGGGACTTGTTTCTGCTGTTGCTTCATAAAAAAGTATCCTATGTTCCTAAAAATAGGAAGTAATCAAGTAGTTGAATGTAAAATAAGCATGGCATGTTTTGTCATAAATGGGTATCAYTGCCTAAGCTTCACAGGAGCAAATGTGCTGAAGGGAGTTGAGGGAAGCCTAACTATGTGTTTTTCTTTGAGGTGAAGCTGTGCTTGATGCCAATAAGCCTGGTTTGGATATCTGTAGTGAATTGAATTAAAGGAAAAATGCATTTTCTTCCCCTCTTTGGAAACAGTTTCAGTGAGCAAGAGAGCTTTGGGAGTGAAAGAAGGAAGTCTGTAATGTAACAGAGCTACTGCTGTCAATGGGAATTGCAATGTTATGACAAAATATAGAGACTTTATTCAGCTACTTTAAATGCTCTCTGCACAGTTCTCCTCCCGTTTCTGTTCAGTGCTTTGTAGCACGTCAATTTTGTTAGTGTCAGTTTGTGAAGATTAATTCTATAATTGACTCTCCTACAAAATACTTGCTATTACCGTTCAATGTATTCTTAGTGTGTAGAGGTACTCATTGTCTAATTTTATTTTATTGCTGGATTTCAAACTCTGCAGAACAAAACTGAAACTTCTCCAGTTTTGCTTTGAAGGTTCCAAGTGCGCTCACCGACCTTCTTCCAAAAGTGTCGTGACCAACACTGGTACATTGCTCAGTTGGAAGCAGCTCAGACAAGTTATATCCAACAAATAAATAACCTTAAAGAGGTAAGTGGGAGGTGTATTAATTTTCAATCTCATCTTTTACTGATTAGTCTCAGGTTGCAAAGCTCAATAACTGTATTTTCTTGGTAGCTATTGTTAGTTTGATATTGACAATGTTAAAATAGCATATATGCAAATAAAATTATTTTATATGATGCTGTGGCTCCAATTTTTTTT